CTGGAACCGCGGGATGGATTACACTTGCGGGGGACGGAGAGATACCACCAGCCTGCAGCACTGGTGAGCTGCCCCTGCAGTGCACACGCCTGGCAGGTTTTGTGCTGGAATTGCAGTAAAATGCCAGAGAAAATCCATGTGACAGGGAGAGGCAGGAGCAGCTGTCAAATTGTACCTAACTGTAGGCTCAGAGGAGCTCGATTATGTGTTACGGCATCGTGCGCTTCATCGTGTAAGCAGGAGGCTGCGAAAGGCCTCCACACACTTACCTGAGATAAAGGCTCATTGCCTCTCAAGAGGCAGATGGCATTTAGAGACTGAGGTGTCATCCCCAAACAGCAAGAGTAGGAATCCTCTGGCCTGCACATGAGTTGAGCACCAGTGATCCTGATGCTTGCCACACTCAAATGTCTGTAGCTCCAACTGTTCACCTGGTTGCTCAGCCAGTTCCAGTTCAGTTTCAGAAAGTGGCTACCCTCCAGCAAAGCTCAAGGAAGCAAATCTAGGCAAGCCATTCCTATGGAAATAGGTCCATGATGGCTTTAAGGGTCTGAGGATAGCAAACCCTGGCCGGTCTGGCTTACTGAGATGATTCTGCCCCCCTCCTATCTCAGCCCTAGCATGGGAGGAAAAGTGTCTTTGCTCCAGTCACCCTTGCTTAGGTTTGTGTCTCTCTCCATTCGTGGCTAGCAGAGAGAGATCTGTACTGACAGGAGGACTGTCACTCTCTTCCAGAGTTGCTATGGTGCTGTGGGCTCCTACTGCCTATTTGTTGCCTCTTCAACCTGCCAAGGGACAGGGATTAGTGCAAATGTGGCTGTGACACAAGTCTGTGATGCTTAGTCATGGGCACTGTTGAACTGTGCCCCAAGGATTTTGGTAAGAGACCTTACCAGTAAAACAGGAGAATATTTAATTCTTGAAGGCCAGACACCTGGCAACTATTTACTGTCCTGCTTTTTGTGTGTGTGTGTGAGCAAGCAGTTAGCCATGGCTAGGAGCTCTGCAGTTGTCAGCTATATCTCAGTATAATTTTATACACAGGAATATTCACCATGTACTGTGCCTTTGAACTCAGTCAAAACAGCAAGCTGTTTCTTTGCTCAGAAGTGTAGCTTTGTTCTGCCTGCCTAGCTATTCTTTTAAGCTTCAAGAGACAAGTCCAACATCCACTGAAGGTAACAGAAAGACATGGATGGTTTTCAGTGGAAGTTAGATCAGTGTTCAGTTAAACACACAATTCAGTAAAGCAGACTTTAGCTGCTTCTCTCATTAATAACACAAAAATTAGTTTACTCAACAAAGAGATTTGGTATTTATTTTTAAATGATTTCCAAATTCAGAAAATATTTATGCTGTGTGCCCAGCCAAGGGTTTGTATCTTCTATTGCAGGAAAAGGCTCAGAAACTTACTGTGTCAAAAAGTATGAAACCATGGGTTTCAGCAGATCCTCCTAACAGAGGCCATAATTAAAGTTGTTGTGAACATTGCATAAGGAGAAATCAATGGGTTTTTTTTTCTGACATTGCCTTCCACTGCTTGTACACAGGTTCAAGGAGAAATCAATGGGTTTTTTTTCTGAGATTGCCTTCCACTGCTTGTACACAGGTTCAGCCTCTTTCAACAAACATCCTAGGTGCTTAAGCTCTTGGGCAGGCACAGGAGGAAGGTTTGAGTGTTCCACTTCTGAAACAGGTGTGTGCCCTCCCCAGGTGAAGCTGGCAAGCTAGGCAGCATCACTTTTCAGCCCATCAGTTGAACTACACTGTGCCACAGCTTAATCTCAAATCTTTGATTCTAAGAGGTTTTTCTGAGGTAGACTGCTCTTAGTCCTGCACTTACAAAGGCCCTCTCACTTCTTGTTGCTTTTTTTTTGGGTATCTACTGTGCAGTTGGTTTGAGAGACTAACAGCCATGTGTGACACAGATGAGCCAAATGAGGCCAATGAGGCAAATTACTCGAATTTGGTGGAATAGTCTGTATGAAGATACATATTCATATACACACACCAGTTTTTATTCCACACCTGGCCAGGTAGCCTTAGCTAAAAGTACTTAAGAAACAAAACTCAGTAAACAGCTTGGGTTAACTGTGTAGTGAGATCTCTCACTTCTTCTATTTGTCAGGTTGTTGGATAATTTTGAACCAGCTGAGTAAAGTTTTTCTATTTCCTAAGAATTTTTTTTGCACTTTTTCCTATTTCTCCATTGTTCTTTCCAGGCAACACAGGGTGATTTTTAGGTTTTCTTCTCTATTGCTAATAGATTTTTTTCACAAAACCTGCCAATTGGACCAGGCCTGGAGGTGGGCTGAAAAAATAGGCTCTTTGTGATGAGCTGCCTTTCTCAGCTTCTCAGGTGGGATCCCAGCTGCTCAGGAAACGAGATGAGCTCTTGCTCCTCCCCTTAGTGATTTAGTACAAGTCTGTCAAGAAGAGAAAGCAGGAAAGCTTTTTTTGTTCCTAAGAGTGATAGGAGAACTGCCATGAGACTCTAAAAACAGGGGCTACCTTTTCATCTGTTCTGCAGTGCCTGGCCTGTGATTTAAAAGAAGAGTGGTCCTGTGCTGTTGCTGCATTTCCCTGGCTTGGAAAGTGGAAAGGAAGAATGTGTCACCTCGATTTGGAGGTAAGAAAGTAAAAAGTTGGAGTAGGAGCAGAGGTGAACATGATATGGGATTGATGAGGGAGGGAGGTGGGCAGAGCAAGTGGCCCAAATGGCAATGGGGATGGAAGTGTCTGGAGATGGACCAGAAGGTGGTGGCAGGGCTGATAGCAGGGATGCTGTGAATTGCACTATTGTTTTACCTGTTTTTTGGAAGAGTTGACTGTATGTTTTGTGCTCATTGGAGTCAGGGCATGGAGGATTCCAAAGTCAAAAGACTGACCAAACATGCAATCCTATAATAGAAACAGTCATCTCCTTCCAACTCACTTGTGCTTTGTATATCTCAGCCCACGAGTTGCTTTCTGCATTGTAATTTTGATACTTGTTCAGTCTCTCCCTCATATGCTCAGTGCTTGTCAAATAAATGTTCTTGGGGCCTGCAGACACCTTACTGTCTGAAGGTCTCACCTCTTGGCCAGTCTCTCTGCGCAACAAGTTAAAATTCTTAGGGTCCTACCATGTTCTTCTACTGCCCCAAATCCCTGCTGGTCACAGCTTTTTCCCTAAACAATTCTACTTTTGTGTCTCCCTGTGTATATTCAATGTCTTTCCAACTTCCTGCTCCCTAGGGAAATGGTATCTTTTCATGGACCCATTCAAGAAGTTAGCTAAATTTAATAATAATAAATTAAATCTGATAGAATCATGATAATATGTATGTACTTGGACACAGTGACTGGTTCATTACTAATTTGCCTCTTCCTGGTTCTTCTCATTTGTTACATCCAGTGAGTGTGTGACAATTAATATTAGATACCATCTTCTCAGGTGAGATAGGTCTCAGCATGTGCCCCATGATGAATCATTTACTTATGCCCTCAGAAAAGACAGTTTCAGGGAACAGAGGAGGAGCTCTTCGTGTTTGCAAGACAACTTACAACTACATCAATGAGTCAATTTGGATCCAAGGTATCAGACTTGATGACAGAGTCCTCACTATAGTTGTTTGTGGCTTCTACTGCAGTTATTTTCTTCAGCAGTACCCCTGGCTCACCATCTAAAGGTGAAGACTGAAGGGTGTCTATACCTCCTTGACTTTCAAAATTTGGGCAGTCTTTTTCACTCTCTTT